CCCCATTTACTCGCTCTAATTATATACATGCGAAGTGGAATGAGGAAGTAATATTCGTTTTGACTCGAAATAATAACGATGACGGTTTTGACACCTAACAGAGAGCTGTTTCTCATATTTTGACTTTCATTTGTGGCCTATAAAATTATACGCGCCGTAATACTCCTCATAAAAAAACATCATTAAACAAATAACTCTCTAAGAGTGCCAGAAGATTATAGCATCATTAGTTTGTGAATACTGTACTTTTTTTAAATGCACTTTTAACGTATTACGTTCCATTGTCAAGTGATATGATGTTTCAATTTCAAAAAATCTCACTCGCCAAACAACGTCCCAAAAAGTGGGTCGTGGGAGAGCATTTCAACTGTTCTGTCGCAACACGTCGCTGCCTTAATAGATGAACGAATACATCCCGTATCGTGAAATAAATTGTCATTTTCCGATCGAGTGAGCAAAATTGCTGCGTTTGATAATCAGGCGCCGTCACTGCTTCAATAAAATACAATTGTTTAATGTTCAACAATCACATCGAATTGAATTGGGTTGCAGCCGATCGGACAATAAAGTGCAGCGTTTTTTCCCCTCTCCTCTTTACAGGTGAAAATCTGGTTTCAGAACAAGCGCTCCAAGTACAAAAAAATCATGAAGCACGGGAGCGGACCCGAAGGCGAGCACCTGAGCAGCACCAGCTCGGCCTCGCCGTGCTCGCCTCACACTATGCCGCAACTTTGGGACGTGTCCATGCAGGCTAATAAAGCAGGTGGCCCGATGTACCCCAACAATTACATGAACAATCTGGGCCACTGGTACCCCAACCAACATCCTCACCAGGATGGCATGTCCAGGCATCCGATGATGTGAGTGGATTGTCTACTGCGAACGCCGCAACACGAATTTCTTGGCTGGATTACGCGCTCATTTTGCGCATCGTTTGACGGGACATTTAAAAGACACCGAAGAGGACTTTTTTTTTAAACAGCGCAATGTCTGGATGAATGCGTTTTGAACAGGTCGTGTGCATGATTATTAACAAAGGCGTCGAACACATTTTCTTGAGTATTGAGCAAACGAACAGACGTCGGGAGCCTTGCTGTGACTTTGCAATCGGAAAATTGCGGAGATGACTCCTTGAAATGCGCAACACGGCCCAGCGGCGTCTTCAGCGAGGGGACGCTCGAACGGGACCCGGCCAATCCGATGTGAGCCGCAAATGAAACACTGTCACTGTTTTGAAATGAACGCATAAAGATTGGTTAATTGCTGCTATGTGTTTGTGACGACTGCAGTCTCTTATTCCTTGTACAAAAGAATCAGCATTTAATGCAGTTACATATGTACTATTTATACACAAGACTATATATATATATGTGTGTGTGTGTCTACATCACAAAAGGGATATTAGAACTAAAACAACACATTTTAAAAGGAAAACAGCTGTTTAAAAAAAAAGGCAAATTTATCACTTTTTCCCCCCCATCAATTTCCTTTCATAGGACATCATATTTAAATCTCATCCCTGTTAAAATCACATTGCAAAGCTGTTACGCTGACTTGTCGATGTTTGGCTCCAATAATTTCCTACAGTACGTGTAATTATGTTCATTACAAATAGCTTGACTCAGTCACTTCAAAAGTTGTATTCCAGCAGTTTGTTAAATTCATCATTATGCCTTCTGGCTTTTGGGCCCATTAAAGCTCCCGATACTGTAAATTTTAAGTGTAAACACTTGCCAAAACCAACATCATAAACAGTGCGCCGTTGCTTTTTAAGCACCTAAAAATACAGATTGCGACCTCACAATGTTATTAAATTTAAACCCACATTTCTTCCAAGTGTCCCCTCACCTTGTTTGGCGCTCCATTTGTGTCTTGTTTGAGTCAAGTCAGGAGAGGAAGAGCTGAAGTCACTTTATAACACCCCCCCAACTTCACTCTTTTATAGTCCCCTTTATATCTGCAATATGCAAGGCCTTTCCTCGTAGATGACGATTACGTGCCTTGTTGAGCATTGTGACTGGCCGTCTGGGAAAATTATAGGCAATTTTACATCTTCAGATTAGAATAATGGCTGGTGGAGTTGGACCGATGAATCTTTCAAACCAATTATCATGCAAGCACAGTGAAGGGGACAGTCAGAAGGGTTTGTGGAGGTCTGAATAAAGCCGCGTAGATACAAAGTCTGTTCGGTTTTCATTGTGCATTCGGCGATAGGATGCAAAATGTCTGGAAGAATCCAAGCGGGCCCCTCGGGTGATTATCATTAACTGCAGCGATGTGACATGTGAGCGTTTGAGTGAGCAATTTGGTTTCCTCTCAAGCGAGTCTTGACTTCACGAAGTCCACGGGACACATCGCGCCATTTTCTCGAGATTCCGAAGCGGAATCAAATTTGGCAGCCATCAGGCTCGCGAGCGGAGGACATGCAAACACACCATTGTGTTTACATCCTTGCAGATGACATTATGTTGACTTATACTCACTCTCTGGAGACCCCCCCCCCTACACCCCCAAAACCATAATCACTACTTTGCATCTCCAACTCAAGTCTTAAGCCTCAAATGTAATGATTTATGCGATGGAGACTCGCACTTTGTTCCCGGAAGGGTTGGATTGGAGTCACTATGATGTGGGTCAATGTGCTGTATTCTTATGAGTAATTCATAAGACATTCAACAACAAAAAAAAAAAAGCTAAGTATAGCTTACGAGCATTCAAAACATCCCAAACACTGAGTGTTGCAGTAACACACTGGAGGAAAAAAAAGGCACGCCAAAAACAACACAATTTCCCGCAAATTTGCAATTAAAACATATTTCTATTTTATTAGAATATATGCTGCTCTGCTGCAAGGTTATGACCACATGCTCAGGCTGCGCTCCCAATGCAAGATTTATATGAGGGGGGAAAAAAAAGGCTCCATTTCTTTTTTTTTTATTATTATTTGTCAGTATGGTTTGCGGTCATGGTCGCTCTCACTATGCGACGTTCGTCGTTGATACGGCTGTTGTTGTGCCTATTATGCTCTAGTCTCTGCGCCACCCCTCTATCTTTATTGCTCTCTATCTCTTTTGCACCTTCTGTCTCTCCATCTCAACCATCCGGACGGTCACCCGACAGAGCCTGGATTTAGTTCAAGATTACTTCATCGCTCTTGCTCATGTGTTCGGGAATGGGGCAGGGGATGCTACACTGCAAAAAAAAAAAAAAAGTAAAATAAACTTAACTTCATACAGGAAGACATTTCTAATATTTTGATATGCGGTCAATACCCGTGTCAAAATATGACATGGTTCAGCATGCCACAGTGCACTTCTTACACCAGTGCAAGCCACAGCAATGAACGGATGTTAACTGATGTCGATGAAAAGCGAAGAGGATTATCTTGGCGAAGGCCGGATTTTTGTGCAAGTTGGCTATTGTCTTTTTCCACAGAGTTATGATCATGGCAAGTTATTTTTCAAGGGACATGCCTCGTCTGAAACTCCTGTCACACCAACATCATTGTATACAGATTTGCAGGCACCACATGGACATAAATAAGATTGCAGCATTTACACGCTTGTTAATCTTTATCACATGTGCTCTTTTCCACAATGTAATATATACTTCATGTGCTGGGGCTGATCAACTGGTGGGCACATCTGCCTGAGTCGGTCGGGCCTTCCTGTGTGTAGTTTGCATGTTCTCCTTGTGCTGTATGAGGTGGCTCGGGCATCTGTTTAAAAAAATTCCTCCCCGGTGGAAGATCCAGGACATGCTGGGAGAGACTGTCTCTCCCCCAGAAGAGCTGGCTGAAGTGGTTGGGGACAGGGAAGGCTGATTATGTTGCTATCCCATGCTAAGTGGGGAAAAATGCATTGAAAAGTCAAAATTGTCCTTTCAAATTGCACTCTAGATATGAACTGGACCAAGCATATAAAGCTGACTTTGCTCAGGGTCAGCCAGGGTTCATAAAGTGCACAGCTGTCCCCTCATCACTAATATATTTCTTTTGTGTTTACAGCAAAGCGCACCATTTGAGTGATCCGAGGCTCGGTCCAGACCCGGTCTACTGGTCGGACAGCTGCTGGAAGTCTTTCCGTCATCGCGTCAGCCTCGCCGAGGAGCTCTCGACCTCCACCTAAACCCGCGTTGTAGCCCCCTCAGAGACTGGCGTTGACACCATCCTGTTGACTGCTGAACGAGGTAAAGGCCTCACTGGTAGCTCAGCGCCTCTATTTAGAGCCAAGTGGGTTTTGTTTTTTTTTTGTTTTTTTGCCGTGCAGGATCAGTTCAAGTTCAATAGTTCACCTTCATGGCTGCCCTTCACTTGTTCATATTTCGAGATAACGTGAACGTTGGAGGGCCCACACGCTCGCGCGCGTTTGTCTTCAGCACAAATGGTTCTCCTGATGAAGGGTGGGCGAGGACCACACATGACGGGTGGTGCAGCGAGTTTTGGGTCAACTCAAGAAGATCACATGACCCCGTGATGAGAATGAATTGATAGCGGAATACAAATAATTCACATCTGCTAGTGAAAGCACATGCAACACACCAACATGGCAGAACTTAAAGGCAGCTGGTGGTGAGTTGAGTGGGAAAATAGGTACGAAGTCATCCGCCTACTGTTTGGATTGCAAAAATATCTGAGTGAAGTCAATGACATAAATCCTTTGCAAATCAAAATATAAAATCCCGAGTGTGACTTTTATAACTCCTCCAAGTTTATTGTTGAAAAACAAGCAATTTCATTTTGAATATAATGAGGAATCATTTAACGACACCCTTTGTTTTGCTCCTTTACAGCAACAATGTGACTGATATAGGACATAAATTATTCGCTTTTTTTCCCCCTTTAACACCAAATTAACACAGACTACCGTTCAAATAATTTACTAATGAATGCCATTTTTATTATAGGTATTTCCTTTTTTCAAACAGCAATTTTAATAATTATACAGTGTCTATCCTGTCAAATGGTTTGAATCACCTTGAATAGCTATATGCACTGTATTGGAAACGGGCGACTCCAGCCTGCATGTAGTTGCTTCACCTCCTCCTGCAGTGGCCACATATGCTGCCAAAACCTACTTATCTGCACAACTTGTTTTTTTTTTTTTGCACTACGCGTTGACTGACGTCAACATTGTTCAGCGCTGTCAACAACCAGTTCAATTGGCAGGTTGACGCTACCAGGAAACAAATGAAAGAATTAAAACAGCAAACAAATTTGACTTCGTGTCTAGTTAGGTTTTGAGATTAAGGGCAAATATAGAAAAAAACGTTTTGTTGTTGTTGTTTTTTTTGCTTCTCCGTCTAATAAGTGAGTTTTATTTTCCGATTGAGCGGACATTCACCGGGCAATTCATTAGGTACCCCTGCACAAGCACATACAAAAATACGATACGATGCGAGCTGTTATTTTCGACGCATTTTTTTAAATAATAAAAATAGCCAGACTGAAATATGATGAGTCAGTTCTACACCACTACAATCACATTAATAAATCTATTAAATGATTACCGTTTTTTTTTTAAATGTGTCTCTTGTATTGGTTCCATTCGATTCTGCAGTTGAAGGCACCAGCATCGATAAAGTGGCTCGACACACACACGGTGCAATTAACACCTTTATTCAGAAGACAAGAAGGCAACGATCGTGAGCTAATTACATGAAAATTTAAAAAAAAAAAAGACTTCTGCATGGAGAACCACAATTGAGTCGTTCAAACAAATATGATCATAATAGTGGTTCTATATAAACACGTATTTACAGCCTTCGACGCTTTGTACAAAACCTTATAAATATGACCTGAGTTTAAGTAATGTGACGCTCGGCATGAATTATCACTCGAACGTAATAACTGCATCGTTTTATTTCCATTCTTGCGTGGTTACTGTTTAACAAAAATATCGTTGCATATCTTTTTACAAAAAGCGAACATAGGGGAATACAACAGAGGAGATAAATTATATATATAAAAACAAAAAGCACGTCAGAAATCCTTTAAATACGTCGTTAAAGTGATCACGAATCCCTTTGTGAATGGAACAAGAAAAAGTTCTGATCTGGATGACTGGATCACCTCCTCAGGCGTGTTCCCGGTCCAAACGTCATTTTTTGGTTAGACCTCGTAAAAAAAAAAAAAAAAAAAGGCTTGGAGTCACTGTTAATAAACAGCTCCCACGCTCTGCGGCGGGACCGGGTGGTGCACGGTACCCGGGTGCTGTAGGTGGGATCCCTGCTGGTACCAGTGGTTGCTATAATCGTCCATGTAAGGCGGCGACGAGCTGTGCGCCGGCTGCGGCACCTGAGCTCTGCTGAGGGGGGTGCTTTGGGGGGTGCCGTTGTCCCACGCGGCGGGGGAGGGCGGCGAATTGCACGCCATGGAGTCGCTGGCGTTCGGGCTGTGGTCGAGGGGCACCTCGCCGTTCTTGTACAGCTTCTTGAACTTGGATCTCCGGTTCTGGAACCAGATCTTGACCTGGGGAAGAGATTTTGCACTCGTTAAAAGGAGAACATGTTCGCGCCGTGCCTCATTGCGCAACGCGTTTAAGACCCACAGTAAAGCAAAAAAAAAAAAAAAAAAGTTGAGTGAAGTCAAATTTCTAAGGCAATGTTAAGTTCAATTCAACGAAATATTTATCAAGTGTTGCTGTTGTGAAAATTAGCTTTTCTGCGCTCCACAACAAGGAAGTAAGCGGTGGTACAGAACTAATGGTTCCTAGTATTGTCCCCTGACTTGAAGATTGTAGTAAAAAACAACTCAGAAATGTGTTTTGGTTTGCTTGCTTTGGTGTGCTAACATTCATGCCATACATGTAAGCATTTATATTTTTAAATTGTTCCGATTTTAATTATTGTTTCATCCCCCCAATAAATTTCTCTATTTTCTACAGTGCAATTAACATTCAGGAAAACAGACTGTTTTCTGATAAGGACTCTGCCAATCCACTCGTATCGTACCTGTGTTTGGGTCAGGCCCAGTTGGGCCGCGAGTTCGGCTCTCTCGGGCAGAGCGAGGTACTGCGCCTTTTGGAAGCGCCTCTGCAAAGCGGCGAGCTGATAGCTCGAATAGATGGTCCGGGGCTTGCGGATCTTTTTCGGTTTGCCATTCACCATGCGGACCTCGGGCTCTGGCTCCTCTTTGACTAGAAACGAAATCAAATGAAATAAATTGCTATTTAATCAAGCTAAGGCAAATCAAAGACATATCGTGCAAGACCATTTTAACACAAAATAATACATTGTGACATCGTCCATTGGCCCTTTTATCGGCACCACCGAACATGCATTTTATGCCTTGACAAAAGTACTTGACATATACACACACACACACACACACACACACACAAATATATATATATATATACTGTATACACACACACATACACAAGGTGTATTGGTGGTCATTTCTCCTTACCTGAGCTTGGAGGTGATGCCTGCAGGTGATCTCTGTTGTAATGTCCGTACTGTCTGTAGCTGTTCGTGTAAGGGTACTCTGATTTCGTGGCGTACACTCCAGCGGCTCCCATTCCGTTCAGGTTAAACTGCGGGTGGTGATGGTGGTGGTGGTAAGAGTTGACGGGCTGTCCGTACGCCTGACCCTGGTAATACTCGTGATGGCCGTGGGCCGACTGCGCCGCGCTGTAGTAGCCCATGTCCGTCACGGAGGACTCGGGCAGAGTCGGGGAGTCCTTGGGAGTCGGGTGGGAGCTCATAGATCCGGGAAGGTCGGTTAGAATACCGGCGATTTTCTTCTCGTATAGCTGCTCGGTAGTCATGCTTTTTTTTTTTTTTTTTTTTGGGGAGGGGGGGGTGGATGGAAAAGTGGGAAAAAGGGGGGATTGGCTGCAAAGGGGGGTGGGCGGGTAGGGAGGGGTGCTCCCTCGAAGGGGTAAATCCACGCGTGGATGAAGGAAAAAGAGCTTCTTTTTTTTGGAGAGGGGGGGAGAAAAGTCCACTTAAAGTCTTCCAGCTGCAAGAAGTTGGTTGTGGCATGGCTTGGTGTCTGTGACATGAAGTTATAGAGAAATGGGCGGGATGCTGCGCTCCCATTGGCTCCCCCCCCCACACACACTACCCCCCCCCCCTCCCTGCAGCCTTCAAGCCAAGCGCGCCCGCACGCAATCCTCACCGCCTTGAGTTTTTATGAGGGTTTTTTTTTAATGACGCATTTGCATTTACCTGTTCGCGGTGAGAAAACACAACATCAGAAGCTCTTTGGGGCCTTGATCCAACAAGATTAGCCTCCAACTACTCAAATACACTTATTTCATTTTCGCAGCTTTCCAGTAGTTGCCCGGAGCTTTCTTGCTTTCTTTCTTTCTTTCTTTCTTTCTTTCTTTCTTTCTTTCTTTCTTTCTTTCTTTCTTTCTTTCGTCTACCTTTATTGTTTGTGTTTTGGAGACTTATGCCATTGCCAGACCGCCCCCTTGATGCTTTTATGCAATGTTTTGCCAGGAGATGACACTTTTATTCATCAAAATGAAAAGGTTCCCCGCTGCTAGCCATTGTCATTCTAATGTGATGGAGAGGCCCAGGAGTCAACTGTGGGGTGAGAAAAACGAGATAGGAACGATATAGCTTTAAAAAAATGCTTCAGCTGATGCAGCCCCCAGGGTGAATTCCTCTGAAGTGTTTATGCGTGTTTTTTTCTGGGGTGTGGGTGGGGTGAATAGGCATGTTAAAAAAAAACGGATGGATTACAGTATATCACGTCGAATGATTCGGGGTAATATTTCAAGCTTTAATTCTGTGCTTTTTTTTCGTGGTGACCTTTTTTCCAGAAAACGCAACAAGCTTTTCGTGCGTCGCTTTGTCAACCATCTTTCCTGATGCTCTGTCGCCCTCTTCTGGTGGAATCACACAGTGCAACTCCACATTTCAAACGGGGCATTGTAAGATGCGGAAGCGGGATGAAGGCGGACCGCCCATTGCGACACAAAAAAACGCTGAATAAATTTCAGTGCGCATTCACACTCATGTCCAGTAGATGGTGCAGATGGATCAAATATGGAGTTGCACAAATAACGTTTCCCTATTGTTTTTCTATTGCAGCCACCACTGCTGTTAGGATCCAACCAAGAGAAGATACCGTGTTGTTGCAGAAGCACTGAAGTAAGAATTCTCCTTTCACTTCTGACAATATACCTTTGTGCGTAGGGGTTAAAAAGTTCTGTACATAGCCAAATTAATTCCTATATACCTTCGCAGTAAGTCGACCTGTTAAAGCTCAGCGTCCCGGTAACTTGAGAAGGCTTCAGGGACCATTGTTTGGTACTTGACTAACACAGTAGGTTGAAGTAGTACCGCTGGCCTGGTTCCAGCCTTGGACCAAAGCTTAGCTAAAACAGCAACAACATACAGGAGGAAGTTCAGTCACCATCAAGGAAAAATGTCATTAAAAATGTACTGAAATAATTTCCTCACATTTATTTACTCAGTGCGAAGTCTGGGCCTGTTTTGTTGAACACAAAACTAACTAATTAAAGCAAAAATGTTTTTAAAAAAACAAACAAAAACTAATAAACTATAAATTGCACCTTCTGCCACCAACCAGGAAATAATTAATTTCATCTCCTTGTCTTGGTACATTGCTGACATAGATGACCAAAGATATATGATGTAAATTTGTGGAAATATCAGAATGATTTCTATGCCACCTCTAATGAGCTTTCACACACTAACGGGCACAGAAATTGGGAATCACTCTGTATGATTTTCTTATTTCTTCTGCATTGCAGCTGGAAGAAGCAAACATCAAAGTGAAAGTGGGAACACTGTCCAACCATTTTCACAGGACCTTGAACGCTAAAGGTGATCAAAAATTCCACCGGGGAACAAAATCCATCTCTCTTGCTCTTACTCTCCCTCCCTCTTTCTCACTCCTCCCATTCCTTTGTTGCCGTTTTATTTCAAAATACCACCTTCTGCATTCCACTTTCAATTGAGTCTCCTTCAGGCTGTCTCATATTGTACCGCCGCTACGGGTAATAATATTGGACCAATTGTACCAGGTTTTATTGCACCCTATGAAAGGATCACAAAAGAGTTATTATGGGGAAGTTCTGCAGACTCCTGATACGTTATGCAGTGGAGTCAATAAACTCATCCGGGCACGATAGGAAAACTGAATAGGGTAGAGTTGGCTTGACGCGACTCAGCCTTGATAATACACATCCTATGTCTAATCCCACTGCAGAGGATGTTTACATGTTGTAATTACGAGGGGCTGACGGCCACACAATCGCTTCCTATTGGCCCCCGCTACAAACAGCAACGCAATTTCACCGCCCTTTGAAAACTTCAAGCAAGTCTCCGTAATGAAGCGCCACGGGCTAGTTTAAGATGATCTGATTGAATGGGAATCAGGCTGTCTGGCGAGTGGGAGACCTGCAAGTCTTATTTACTGCCGACTCTCTCTCGTTATCTCTCCCCACCTCGCCTCCCCACAACGCTCATACCGCCCCCTCGTCAGTGGTTCTGACCTGAGATAAAAAGAGGGGATGGCAGTGAGTCAATCTGGAGTTTTTAATTGTGCGGTGTGATTTTTTTTTTTTTTTTGTCTCAAGGGTGGCATACCCAGAAGTTGAGCTTTTCCTTGATGTGAACCACAAAAATATTAGGCCAGTGGGCTGTTAGAGTCACACAAAGTGAAAATTGAAGAACTTGTCACTGTTAGTCGGAGCCACTCTGAAACTACATCAAACCAGCCACAGAACATCCAAAGTGAAAATACAATCGGATTTTTTTTTTTTTTACCGCAGCCTCCAATTATTTTTGTAAATCACCGCTATTGCTTGTGTAACACTGAGGCCTCCATGTTCTCAGGTGGCGTTGCACCAAAGTCCAGCTTTCTGTGGAGACCTGTGTTGCACAGTGATATGCATGAGAGGCAAGAGTCCAGGTAAGGCTTGTTCTTTGAGTGTTTCCGCAGGGCCCCGCAGCTGCCCACACAGTGCAAAAAGTTAAGTTCTTTTTTGCGACTCTTTGCATCTCCCAAATTCCAGACCATCTCACTCCCTACTAATTTAATCTTCTACATCGTTCCCAAGTACATCCTGACCCCTCATCCCCTTGTCGCCATTCCCGTTTGGGGGATTATCACAGAAAAAAAAGCGCGACCGCATGGTGATATTTGGACTGGTGTTGATGTTGTCTCTCCCGTGGTTCAAGCAGGAAACTCCACCCTGAATCAGAGCATGTTTTGACTCGGGGCAAGATGAAACTGCTCCCTCGCGACTTGGGAACATCTTGACAACACTGTCCGGTCAAAACATTCCATCCTAAAGACAAATGCTAAATGTTTGAACAAGCATCCTCAATCTAAAAGACATCGACTATGTAATGTTTGAAGTTAAAAAAAAAGTCTAAATTACATACTGTACTAAAAAAAGACCTGCCCACAAAATAAGGGCTTGCATCGATCCTCTGATATTCCGAGACCCCATCCCACTTACCAGCCTGTCATACAGGATCGGTGAAAAGTAACTAGCCATTACAAATTACTTTGAGATTTTGGAGTACTTCAGTCACACATCCACCTTGTCATTCGGTAGCCTTGTTAACACCGCATCAAGACTAGCAATTCTATCCAGGCATGCCTGAGCTTGGCCCATTTGGGGAGTTCCCGTTTCTGCCCCCGTTTTCCTCTCCCGACTAGGTTTGTCATCTCCATGTTGTAAACGTACCATTTTCAAATGAAGCAAAGTGTGCACGGTTGGTGCATTTGTGTGCCGAAACGCCGCCGAATGTGCATTTTGGTGTTGAAATCTTAGCCCCCCGTGAGTACACTCTTTATCAGCTCCGCAGCATCTGTTCTCCTCAGGCAGGTGATGACGACTTCAAGTGCTTGTCCAGGATAGAAGCAACCCACAAAGACGAATGACTTTTGAGCCTAGAATGGTTATTGTTCAGTGTGTACAGAAAAACCTGTTGAGTATGAAGAACAGAAAACCTTTTGGGGTCCAGAGAACCCTTTACCTATGGTTTGCCGACCGATGACCCCAATTTGAGAACCACAGATTAAGATGAGCAGAAATAATTGAGTAAAACTTTTGCACGGTAATATGTCGATCGTTACTAACAATACCTCAGGTGAAATTCAGAGGCCACCACCACCCACGGCGCCACAGCGCCCCCTCCTCAGAGACCCCCCCCCCCCCCCCCCCCCCCACCAATGTTTGCCTTGCGGCTGAGCCCCTGCCAGTGTCCCTCACTAATGAATGGACGCTTAATGATCTGAGCAGGCCATTTAATTGAGTGGAAAATGTGCTAGCATCTCTTGCACTTTCTCACTCTGCTCCATTTATCATAGGAAGTTAACAAAAGGCCAAGTTCCCCTTTCACACGCTCTCTACTAATAATATTATTTTACTTCCATGTTTATGAATGATAACAAATGAGGCCACACTGTGTGCATTGTATGTGTATATATATGCTATATAAACAAATACTGCATTCTGAATGTAATTGTTTCGAATAAAAACCATCAGGTAACCGTAGCACCCGAACACACAGACGACATATTTTTCATTTTTGCACTCGTGAATATTTTGCTGTTTTTCCCCTCAACCCACCGGTGAAATCACTCTCAGCGTGCGTCCTGTTACAATGGGACATTTTATTTGTACGACATGCACATCCGCTGATAAACAAAATGTGGCACCATGTGGATCCGAGCAGCAGCTGCTCCAAAGACGAAAGGAAATAAAGGTCTGAAGGATGAGCGCTGAGGGATTGGACCCTTGCAACAGACAAGGGGGATCTTGACAGAGCGGCGTTGTAAATCATTTAAACTCACTTTACCGCGGGCAGGGTACGCGAGCGATGTGAGGGCAAGGCGATGTTGTGTTTACTGCTCAAGTGCCATTTTTCAAGTCTGCTCGCAAGATTAATTAGGCTTAGCACAGGGGGCGAGTTTTAAACTGAGTAACAGTTGATGAATGTTGATGGGAATATGATAATCATTCAACAGGATTTTTGACTTAACTTCCATTTAGACTGGAACAAAATGTGCATTAAATTGTCACCAGCCACGTAAGGGGAACGGGGAAACTACAAACAGACAGTTACGAGGCAGGCAGAGTAAGGCAGCTTTATTTATAGAGCACATTTCAAACACGAGGTTTATAATTTAAAAGCATTTACACGCAACAGAACTGAAGACTATTAAAAACAAACTCGTAAGCAAGAACAGCCAAAATTACTGAAAGACTTTACAGCGCAAGGAACAATTTAGAAAATTGAAAAACAAGAGAATACATAATGGTAAGCACCATTCATGGGCTAATGATTAGCATCAGCATTGCGACGTTATCACCTATTGAGCAACGGATGTCTGGAAAAAAAAAAACGGGACAACAAATATAGACTGATTATATGACAGTACTCATTTGCATACATTCTTTATCCCCTGCAAAGAATGAGTAACATTGCTGCAGCTTACAGAGGAGTCAAGCGGCACCTTCAGTAAACATTGATGAGTGATGCAAGCCATTGTGTGGGCTTCACGCTGGGCTTGTTAAGTATCAAGTTCTGAGGCAACTTGTCCCACAGCAGCCGGGTACGACGTTGACCTGGGCCTCATGCTCTCAGTGTTGCTGTCAATTTCAATAAAGTTAACTTTTGTGAGGGTGCCGAGAACACAGGAAGAGCGACGAATGAACTCTGGGTAAAGGTCAAGCTGGTGTCACACTTCACAGACATGACCCTTTTTACCTCAGCCTCCAGAATGTACGCACGCAGCACGTAAAGAGCTACTTTCTTCGTGTAACAAATCTGTGCTAAGCCAAATGAAACCTCCCCTCGAATATCGTTTCTTTTGAATCTGCGACTCCTCCGCACATCGCAATCTACTGTGATTCATTCAGAACAAGAGGAAGAGGAATTCGGTCCTGAACAACTCCCTTTTTTTTTAATGATTAAACAACACCTCCAATGCACCGTAGCACAACAGGTGTTCATTCATTATTTTTCTTGCAATAAAACATTAACTCAGGACAGATTCTTTTCGCTGGTAATGCAGTTAGAGTCAAGGACGTGGAGTTGGATCGAGGAATTTATTCCGTTTTTCGACCTCATTCACTGTGAGCTGTATGAAAGTAGCCTGATAACTAACAATCACACTGAACTATGGCAATTTTTCTCGCTCTTGTCTTGGTAGTTATGAAACGCGCTCAGCTTTACTGTCTTAGGGAGTTCTACGGGGATCACTTTTAGGGCCACTGCTCTTTTGTATTTGCAAAGTCTGGCTTCATCTTGAGAAAGCATGGCATTTCCTTTCCAGATTGATGTGCCACTAAGGAAGAAAAATGCCTTTGAAACAATAACACAATAACAAAATGTTTTTTTTCCACAACATGCTGAGTGTGTCCCACGAACTCCTAGCCAGGCCCAAAGCTAAACCAAAAAACAGGTGCCACTGGACAGTTCATGGGAGAGTTCTGCGCCACACCTTCTTCCTCGGGCTATACATTCCTGGGCTTTGCACAAACCAGAGACCTGTATTCTGTATTAGCAAGAATTTCAGTCACATTTTTTTCAACAGTCGTCACGAGAGCGTTTGGAAATGTCACTAAATATGGTAATTAAATCACCAAGATGGCAACACTGACTGCTTTTGTTAAGTATTTATTCTTAGTTGATGGCCCTGTTGTTGGTGCAAGCAGTGCATGTCAGCTGGCGATAATTGTTGAATATATTTCATCCAATTCATTTAGTGGTACACAGTCGCTATGGTTCATTGGCATGGGGATTATGATTGGTCTTTTGGAAAATGTTCTCCACTTAACTGGTCCCCGGGCCCAACAAGTTTGAGAACCCATGCAACATGCATTTCACCTTGCTGTAATCTTGTTCCGTGCTATCCAAGAAGGAACTGACAAATTATTAGATTTAGCTCATTAATCTTTGATGATTTTCTCCTGCAATTAGATTTCATCCTTGCCAGCCTGATTGAGTTACAACAGGAGAATACTCACTTACAGTATGTCCGAAATTCTGTTTGTGTTGCAGTCTGGACCTGCATTTGATTCCCGTTACAGCGTAACAAGTGGCTGGCCCGCCTCGGAAGATGAAGTTTGATTCCCGCGGAAAGGTCATCCGAGCCCAGCGAGACTCCTGGTTGAAGTTTAAACAGGCCACGCTGTCTTCCTGCTCTCCAGAACATACTGGCTTCGTAGCAACCCCCAGCGCCATGGCAACGGCTGCCTATGTCATCGCAGAGGGAGCGACTACTCGGTGAGTGAGAGTGTGCTGTGTTTCCTATTCATCCAATGTCCTGCTCGCTTTATTTATTCTCCCTTCTACAGTAATTAAGGATTAAAATTCATAAGGTACCCAACACAGGACTGACATCGAAATCAAGTTTATTTTTACACTGCGTTTACTCAAAAGACTGGACCAGTTGTAGAGCAAAGGGACCATAATGGCGCATATTGTGTGCATTTGTTCCAGTTCCAGAAGAGCATTTCTGCTATCGCACATTCAGATCAGAATTCACCCGCAATCCTGTTAGGCCTTCAACAATGTCTCAAGACTCCAGAAAATGAGCCCAAAAAAAAGTCATGAAGTGTGGAATGTTTAAAAATGATTGTTTCTTAAGAACAACTTTTACGCCTATCCAAAGCTGTTCAGGTGTCAAAAGGGTCAGATGAGCCCACGTTCAGAATCAGATTCCCTCCCAGCCCTTAAGGGGGTGCAAAAAAAAAAAAAAAATGCAACCTAATTAATGCTTAACCAAAAAAAAAAAAAAAGGAAGACTAGCTCTTAGTTCCTCCCTGCTAAAAACACAACTGCACGGCTCTGTTGAGTGTCACCGCTGTCGATGTGGGCCTTGATTAGGGCAGCAGGCAGCAGGATGTTGACAGTGTACACACCGGCATGTTGTGCACTCATCTTCAGGCTGATGATCGTGCTCCCGAGCTAGACCGTAACATACAAATGTAGACGCGATAATGGTTGAAGGACAGCGGTAGACCTGCTTCATGATGTGCCCTCTGCATGTCACACACACTGGCCTTGTGTAAGCACAACTGAGCGTATTTTGACAGCAACTTCAAGCATAATGTCACAATTGAACGAACACACTTTAATTATCACCTAGACATGATGAAATAGGGCACACAGCTTTGGAAATTGGACACATTCTGGTGGAAGGAGGTTGTGGTGCCGCTTCCAAGGCCGCTATGAAAGGCGACTCAAGAAAGCGAAAGAAACTCTTGATTGCCTCCGTGAACTCTCAAATTCTCTGTAAAGGGATTAAGGCTTGAATGAATGGCCGGTTCCAGGCCACAAGTGCGGCTGATAGGTGGACAGAGGGTGGGCGTTACAGGAGAGCTCATGTGAAGGTGGGCCCACTTGAGTATTAGTGGGATTAGGGGAGCGTTTTCAGGGGTGCCAATCTTCCAGGGAACACGAACAGAACACCTTAAATTCACATAAACGAAATGCAACACACACTTTTAGGGAGGGAGGGGGAGAGGGAGGGAGCGTGACATACAAAGAGAGAGGGGGGGAGAGAGAGAGAGAGAGAGAGAGAGAGCGAGAGCGCTCACCTTCTCAATGAGTGTGCGAGCGCGCGTCGCGACTGCAGTTCTTGCGTGGGAGGTCCCTGCTGTTGTGTGTCTACCTGTCGGATCCGCGCCGATCGTGGATCTGCCGCTCCTTCTCACAAACCAACAAAATGTCCCCAAGGCTACTCTTTTGCCCATTGCTGCTTTTCATCCACGCAGCGACGGTGTGCCGTGGATTTAACGTGGACGAGCGCTTCCCCGTGATCAAAGAGGGCAAAACCAAAGGCAGCTTCTTCGGATTGTCCGTGGCCATGCACGAACAGACGGAGGGGTCCAGGAAATACCTGTAAGTTACTTTGTTCCCCCTCTCCACTTCTTTCTGGTTTGATGGGTAGTGGCCTGGAAACAACTGACACCTGCTTTGACCCAGTGGGCGGAACCAGATACTACCGCCTTAACAGCGGTCTCATTCTCATTCAGTGGCTGACTGAGCATGTAGAAAAGCTGCAAGCCCCCCTCCAGTTCTGCTATACTGCAAAACCTGTTCTCTATTTTACACGTTTTATGTTTTAGTTCCACCTGCAAAGCACCCATGAGAGGAACTTTCAAACGGTGGTTCTCCAACTGCGGTTGCAGGGCCACTGAGTTTCCTTGAACTGTAACTTTGCCACAAATTGGTTTATAATTTTAAAAAGTGCAGACAGTGCGTATGGATGTAGCCTTGCCGTAAATAGTGAAAATGTGGGAGTGATTGACCCTTAAAACAGTTTACAATTAAAATAAGCCAAAAGGTGATGGCAAAACATGACCATTGTCTAAATGAAACTCCTCGACTCACTTTGACAACGTTCCTTAGCACCACATGATGGTACTAAAATACTAATTTTGTTGATTTCGCTTGAGTTTAGTGCGGGACTAATTAAAAGCCCTAATGTGATTGTGATGTATTATCACAGGTAGGTGAACAAAGATGTGTTGTTTGTAGTCAGAAACTTCACTCAGCTGAAGAGGGACAAAGATGTGCATTAGTGTGAGAAGAATGGAGAGCAGTGTCCAGATGACATGGGATCGATGTGCCATCTTGGACAAGTCCCAGCTGAGATGCAGTCATCCTCAGTGGACTGACACTCAAGAGGTGGGACTACATGCTAGGAGCACAGAGGAGGGTCCCACGCACTTGCTTATAACATGCAATCTGTATGGACCCATAGTAATGCAAGTTTTGTAAGCTCTCAGAAACAATGCGCTACTGAAATGTGTTACAATGCTAATATGCTAACACGTAGCAACCTGAGTACCGAAAACATAAGGGCAGATCAATAAGGTGTTGTGCCCACATTGGGTCCTATGATCAGTTATTACACTGTTTGTAGCCATAGTATTTATAGCGCAAATGCTAGCAGCCTAGCGTGCAGTATGTATATTGGTATGCTAACATTTATATACCAAGAGATAATGTCTCATTGATAAGAATCGTACATTTTCGTCTGGCTTTGCACCACAGTTGTGATTAGTCCCCATACTTTTTTTCCCCCACTACTATTGAGTGCACTTTTGAGAAATTCAAGTGTAAGAACCAGCTTCAACAAGTCCTGGCACTTAAAGTGGGGATTCTTTCTCGCAGGCGTGAGTCAGACTGAGGATGGGATGTAAGTCAAGGGCCGATTGCCACTCCCACTTCTGCAATAAAGTAAATGCAATAAAGTTGTGAACCCTTGACGCCATGAACCAATTAGTCTGGCAGTGAATCTTGGCTCTGTCGGGCCAGTTTAAGAGTAAATGTATGGCTAACTTGAAGTTAAAGTTGAACAAAAAAAAAGTCAAAGCTACCTGAGGCTAGATTGTACGGGTCCCTACTACACTACTAGTCACCAAGTCGAGTCTCCTCAGTGGGCTTTTTTTTTTTGTTCTCTTTTGTAGCCGGGAGGTGGGACCGGGCAGTCAGCTGGCCACCTATTGGCTCTTCCAGTCCCCTGACCCCATGGTATGTGTGGAATGTATTAGCCTTCTGTGCACAGTCACAACCTGCCAGGTTTCAGGTTGAGACAAGACAGGAGTCAGGGTGATGATCTGTTGGGAAACGCACATGAACCCACCAAAATCTGGAGTGCGCTTATTTTCCAGCCGACACAATTCCTTCAATTTCTAGTCGAGATTCAAAGTGGCCCCAAAAGCCTGAAATTAAAATCCTCTAACGGATGAATATGGATTCCAAATTGGAAAATTTTCCGCTGTTTTCCACCTTTGTCTGACTGTATCAGCCCCAGGCTATGAAAGTCCGCCATTTAATTAGGTGGTGCAGCCTCCCCCCTATTTTTTTTAACTGTGAGAGCAGATTAGGTAGGTCAAACTATGCTGGGAGTTTTATAAACACAAACAAGCTCACGGAGACTATTTCCAACATGTGCAGTAACTCTCTACGTCACCCCTAACATCAGGTCATATCAAATCAATTCAAACTCAGACGCGAACGCACTTTAGCATGTACGCATGTGGGCCAAAGCATTAGGAAGACCTGCACTTCAGTCGAACGAGGTGGAATGCTCAGATTTGATTGATATGGTCAAATATGACAATCGATCGGTCTTGTCAGTCTGTCGGTCGTTCTGTCGGTCTGCGTGTGTTGTTCGGTCGCCACGTCTGTTGGTATTCCATTCTCTCTGATTTACCAGAAGATGAGGCGCCCACGGAAGTAAATGACGCCAATTTCCAGCGTGGCATGTGTCCAAACATTCTTTATCTCCAGAGCGCTGGTGGTCCTTGTGCCAGCAGGAGGTCTACTGTCATGCTCAGCGAAACATTGAGATAACGATTCATTCTTGTTCGCTGCAACGTCATTCATGTTTAACAAGACTGTGATTCGATATGAGCTCTTATTGCCTTACATCAGCCAAATTTTAAATTACAATTTGAAAAATACAAAATATAAACATCATGATTTTTTTTTCTCTCCCCCCCCCCCAAACAAAATTTTAGACTGTTTGAAAATTCTAGTTCACTTTACTTTTGGAGAATAAATGGTTTGAAATCTGTCCATGGTGATTGCTACTCACCCTCCTGCTATTTATTTTGTGGGTCCAATCAATATGTTGTGTCCCGACTGAATGAAGGACGCCCTCTAATAATTACACGTTGAAATGGATCCCAGCAGGACGTTGCACCTGCCGCTATTCTCCACGGAGAAGATTCTCTCTCTTTACCGCTACCCGTCGAGTCAACTGTTGCACCACTGCAAGAGATCCTTTTCCTTTTGCTCTTGTATGTTTAAAAAAAAAAAAAAAAAGCTGGTGTAATTTGGCTAGCCTCCGGGTGGGTGAGGGTCACCTGTCTCGAGAAAAACTATATCCTTCAATACCTTTCAGATCATTTTTCATCTCTGACACGGAAAACGAGTGTTGGCTTACACTCGGTACGCGTCTGCGGACCTGTGCATACTTGCAGTGTGTTTTGCAAGAATAATTTGGTCAACCTTACACCCCACCAAACGCCACTTGCTTGTAATGTTTGCGAGTGGACTCCCCACCAAAACATAAACCAACCTTGTCAGACGAGGTTTTACGAGTTGCTAATGAAAAGCAAGTTAGCGGAGTATCAGGGGGTGGGGGAAGACCTGCCATGTTTTATTTGTCGCCCGGGTCCGAAATGAGTTTGTTCTCTTGTTACTGTTTCACCGGTGGCAGTTGGTGGGCTGCAAACAGGATGTTTGGCCAGCTGAGATGTCTGCTTGACGAGTGTTTGAAGAACAGGCGTTTTTGTCATTTGATGTGATCCGTTTTGCCATCACATTTGATTCAAATGTGTCCCTTTTGTCAAACAAGAAAATTATCTTTTTGATCAATTTTAGTGCTGCAGATGCTTGATTTTTTTTAATTTTTTTTTTAAGATCATTATTTCAGTCTTGGCGGCGGTCTCTGCTCTCAGCTTGTTTTTGTTTTATAATGAATATGACGTCGACGTTTTAATCATGCTCCCCGCGCTTAATTCTCGTGATGAATGTTTTCCGTTGCTACGGAGCAATTTTAATACGTTTTCATCCTTCCAGGTGGCTGCGTCACTGTGTGTCCATTGCCAGTTCATGTGTGAGTCACGGCAGGGGCGCCCGCTCAGTCAATGGCGAGGCACGTTTGCTCTGAATAGTCTGATAGCAATGTGTGTGTTTACCCTCTCCGGCTGCTTTCTGACACTGTTGTGCGAATGGATGGATTCCAATCATCATTGTGCCATTGTAGCACACCGGGCACAGAGAGGTTATGGAGTCGCTCACAGAAACTATACCTGTCACCCCCGTATATTTATGATTTAATACTCATTAAATTAAAAGAATGTATATATTTGGAAATATATTGCAGATTTGTTTTTAGATGAGCGGATATATATATTCATGGCGAGTCAAGTTGTTTTGCTCATCTGCGTTGTGACATGTTTCCGCCCTGGGGACACAAAAGTCTTGACGCAACGGGGCCTCTCCAGATTTTGGCTTTTGCTTCAGAACTTTCCTATCTGAGCGAGATTACTTGGAAATGTTTGGATAAAGGCTTGTTTGGATTCTAAAAATGCTGAGGAAATGTGCCTTGATGCAACTTTTAACCCAACTTGAGAATAGGTTGCTCCTGACCATCAGTAAGGGTCAATATCGTGGGATTATGTTTGGTTCTTAGGTTGGAGGAAAGGAAGCACCTTTTTTGTCTCGCCAAATCCGCGATATTACAAAAGGGTGGAAGTGCCAATGCGGAGTCAGCATTTTGGATCGTAGAGGAGCATGGACCACGTCAGCGGGTTCATACGACGAACGAACCTCCCACCACTTGGCTGAGGTTACATCTGTCTGTCATCGAGTGTGGCTGATTGACAGGTCGAACATTCGTCGTAATAATGGATACGACCGCTTTCAAATTAAGTCATATGCAAGTCCTCTTTGTGCTGATGTGGAGAAGGCAGCCACTCTCACCTCTTCCCTGTGTTGTAAGCCGCACTAAATACACTCTTCGAGCAGCAGTTCGCATCACCTGCTGAGGAGAACAGGGCAGATTTCAACACGTCCCGTATACTCAGTTGGAATGCAGGAGCTCAGTGCCCACTCGCTATCCCTCCCGTGGGCTCTTTGTCAGTGCGTTTATGAGGAGGTGATGAGTTGGCAAGGAGGCGGGAGGTGGACACGCATTGTTGGACTTGACACCAAGCGGATATGAGTTGCGTTGTCCTGGCTGAGTCAGGGC